TGACTGACAATAGAACTATAAAATACACCAAAAACGCAACATAATTACGAAATGAAACAATTTTATTAGTGCGCTGTAATCCAAATCTTCCGAATCCATAGGACTGCGAGGAACAGACCCAAATCCAAGCCTTTATTCGGCGTTCTTCTTCTCCATCCCGAGCAGCGAGTCCAGTGACCGTGAGCAGGGGACAGAAGAGCTGTCAATAAATAAATGAGAAAACAAAGTAATTGGTGTTGCTTATTTTAAAAAAATAACTTGAACTTGAACAAGTAATGTGTTACTTTACTAGTTACTTGGAAAAGTACCTGATTAACTCGTGTTACTTGTAATGCATTACCCCCAATACTGTTTATATTACTGCAGATACTCTGTGACCAGCAAAAGTTTGTTTCATACACTTTTTGCTCATCAAAATAATCTCAAATGAACAGCCTAAATTCAGTAAAAATCAATAATAATAAGCAAACTACACCACGGTCACATGACTATAACGTCACCATCACTACGCTTCTGACTAATCTTTCAATTTCTTGATTTAAAGGGATAGTTCACCCAAAATGAAGATTACTCCATGATTTACTCCCCCTCAAGCCATACTAGGTGTTTATGACTTTCTTCTTTCAGACGAATGCAATCAGAGTTATATTTAAAATCTCCTGGCTCTTCCAAGCTTTATAATGGCAGTGAATGGCTGTTGAGATTCGATAGTCCAACAGAAGTCCAATAAAGCGCATCCATCCATCATAAAAAGTGTCTCACACGGCTCCGGGGGATGAATAAAGACCTCCTGTAGCGAATCAATGTGTTTTTGTAAGAAAAATATCCATATTTAAAACTTTATAAACCATTCATCTAGCTTCCGCTAACTGTTGTACGCACGTTCACGAGAGAGTGGCGTCCAGTGGATGACGTAAGACGCAGGCGTAGCGCAAGGTCCAGTGAGAAGTGACGAACACGAAAGTGCAGCGGAGAGAGCAAAACAAAACACCGGTCATGAATTAGAAGAACAAAATAAGGATTTGTAAAGAAAAATGTCGGAGGATTTTGATATAAGCCAAGAGGAGACTTTTGCTGCTTACTTTGCTGTAAACAAAACTTGGTTCTCGAGAGACTACCGTATTCTCACCGGAGCTGAAGCTGTGCCTACGTCATCCGCTGGACGCCAGTCTCTCGTGAACGTGCTTACAACAGTTAGAGATTATGTATATAAAGTTTTAAATATGGATATTTTTCTGACAAAAGCGCATTGATTCGCTACAGGAGGTCTTTATTCACCCCCTGGAGCTGTGTGGGACACTTTTTATGATGGATGGATGTGCTTTATTTTGCTTCAAAATCTCAACAGCCATTCACTGCCATTATAAAGCTTGGAAGAGCCAGGACATTTTTGAATATACTCTGATTGCATTCGTCTGAAAGAAGAAAGTCATAAACACCTAGTATGGCTTGAGGGGGAGTAAATCATGGAGTGGCTTGAGGGTGAGTAAATCATGGAGTAATTTTCATTTTTTGGGTGAACTATCCCTTTAAAAATCTACAATTTGAAAAGTTTGAGTTGAAACCGTTTGCGAGAGTGTGAGTAAAGTGAAGAGTGAGTTAACCTGTTTGGTGTGATGACCTTTAATATCGCCTGTTAGCAACTGTCTGTTTCAAGACACATAAAAGTACAAAAAAAAAATTAAGAGTGGGGTATTACTGTTGTATTTTATGTTGTAGAATAAAACATAAAAATATCTTGAGCTTATGTTCACCACAGACCTTGTTTCAGGCATTTAACCAGAAACCCATTTAAAAAACCCACTGACAGGATAAAGGAACCGGAAGTGCTAAAATGCTAACTCGTGCTAACTCATTCCTGCAGCACTCTATAGAGCATGTATATTCAACGTTTATTGTTTATTATGTGTATGTTTACAACAAATGATCCAAAGTAATATGACATTTAATAAGATTGCAGGCTAACAGGTCAGCAGTATGCTAAGCTAGCATGCAGAGTGGTTAAAGAATAAGACACTTTTGTTAATTTGCCATTACACATGATTTAAAAGATATTAATTGTTGTATTTACAAACTTAAGATGACATATGAATCAAATCAGTAGGTTTTCTAATCAGGCACTGAATTGAATACCCATAAAAGGCCTCTCAGCCAATGGAATCACAAGGATGCATTCGTTCATGAAATGTATTTCTTAATCTATAATCTGTAGAATCGCTTTTGTATCATTTACGTCATAGTTAAACATTTACTGATTGCCCTAAAACTGAAATCTCCAGTGCTAACTCACTGCAGCGCACCAAAGTTATGCTCATTTTTAAATGATCGAATACTCAGAGACAACTTTAAGCCAGTTATTTATTGGTTGACCCTGAAAAGTAAACGCTTTGAGAATCCTAACCAGTCCAACACAGCAGCAGCATTGGCTTAACCAGTGGCATGAGATGGGTGGTGGCCTGTCTGACCAACAAAACATGACAGCAGTTTTAACTCAGCACTGTGTTTGTGTTCAGGACGGGTCTCTCAGGAGAAGCGGCTCTTTCGGTAAGCTCAGGGAAGTCCTGCGCAGAAGCAGCGAGATGCTGGTGAAGAAAATCCAAGGAACCATGCCACCAGAACCTCGCAACACAAAGTGAGACACAAACACAGCGACTGATGAATGTTATACTGTTCTGAACTTTAAAGCCAGCTTTACAGCCTGACACAGTAGAGTGTTGTTCTTTCATGTAAATACAATGTTTTTCATCCCACACAGCATGAAGAGAGCCGCGTCCCTCGGCTACCTGAACAGTAACGGAGATGACGACGACTCTTTTCAGGTGAGATGATTTGGGGATGTTGAGGCGTGAGCTCAGGGTTTCATTTGATTTGTTTTGAAGGAGATTAATGGAGTAATGCTGATTTGTTGCTTGTCTCATCACAGGGTTCAGGAGCAGCGAGGACGCTGAGAAACAGCAGGCCTCTGAGCTCAAGCACAGTGGAGCTGTACAAAAGCACAGACCAATGAAAAATACATACATGTTCTGACTCATTTCTTACTAGATTTGTAGGAGGATTTGGTTCATGTGCTTTCAATCATGAACGCTTTTGGCTTTACACACTCGTATAAATCATGCATGTTTCTTTTTCTTCAAGGAATAGTTCATCCAGAAATGAAAACTCATCATTTACTCATTCTCATGTGGACCACAAAAACAAATTTAACTAACAGCTCTTTTTCCATATAATAAAAGTGAATGGAGGATGGGTGCCGTCAAGCTCCAAAAACAACAAAAAGCTCCATAAAATAGCTACTTGAACACTAAATTAAAAGTGTACAGACCGAAATATGGAAGCTTGTTTCCGCCAGGGGATTTAAAAAAATTATAATTGCAACTTACTGCAATAAGTTTATATCTCACAATTCTGAGAAAAAAAGTCAGAACTGTATGAAAAAAAATTACAATTACCCATGGCAGAAAATAAACCCTGAACTGCAAGATGTAAACGTGCCGCTTTTTCAACTTTTTTTTCTGGCAAATCTTAAGTTATATCTTACAATTATGTGGAAAAAGGTCAGAATTGCAAGATGTAAATTCAAAATTGTGAGAAAAGTCAGAACTGCGAGATAAAAAGTCACAATTAACCTTGGCGGGGAAAAAAAAAACAGAATTGCGATGTTAATTCAGAATTCCAAGAGAAAAAAAGTCAGAATTGCGAGAAAAAAAAACAAAATTGCGATATGTAAATTCAGAATTCCAAGTGAAAAAAACACAGAATTGCGAGATTTAAACTGAATTACAAGACAAAAACTTACTTATACTATAACTACTATTACTACTACTATACTATAATATTACTATACTATTACTATAACTTGCAATTCTAAGAAAAAATAGTTAGAATTATGAGATATAAACTTCAAATATCAATATACAATTTTGAGATTAAATGTTGCAGTTACCTTTTTTTTCATGACAGACACAAGCTTACATAATAAAATGTATGTTTTTACTGAGGGTGAAGAAATGAATTGCTAATCTTTCCCTCTGCCACAGATCCAGAAGCTCCTGAATATGTGGTAGTCCTAGTCACTTTGTGCTTTCATTGTATGTGAAAGAGCAGCTTGAACATTTTGCTAAACATCTGTATTTGCAAATCAAGAAAGTTATACCAGTTTAGAAAAAATGGATAGGGGTGGGTGATGTGACCAAAATCTTTTTACTTCACAATAACGATATCTATATCACAATATCATTATTTATGTTGTTTATTTTATGTTTGTTATTAAAAATAAGAACCAAGAAGCACATTACAAACAACAGGACAAATATAATAAAACAAACATACAAATGAAATAAGAAGTTAACGTTTTTCAGGTAGGTCTAGCTAGTATTCAGGTACAATAAATGATGACAGAATTTGAATTTTTGGGTGAACTAACCATTTAAAACTATTTTAACCGTTCTTAAAACCTGTAACAGCTGCCTCAACAGTTCGTTTTGAAACCTAATATGGCACAACTAGAATATTTTATATGCTGAAAACACTGGAATGTGATGGGAGGCTTTGTGTGTACGGATCTGAATTATGTAATGAGTGATTTTAACCCCAGTGGGAAAGACCAGAAATCCACCTGGCTCTTTCTCTCAGGTATTAAATATCCTTTTGACACATATTTAGCAGTGAAATCTGACCTCCGGTGACAAAACCCCACGAGAAACCCGGTGCACGAGCATTGTTCACTAGGAGCTCAAGAGAGGAGTTGTGTTGCTCCTGACCTGATTCATCAGCCATGCACGGCAGTCCATTTATTTCAGTCGCTCATTCATTATGTGATGCATATGTCCTAATTTATAGGTAGAGCCCCTGTGTGTTTCTGTAACTGTGTGTGATGTAGTTTTTTTACTCTGTTCAAGTTTTAAAAGCAACTATCTTGTCATTTTTTCATCACGAATTAAAATCTGGAATATATATGGAATCTGTATATATGGAATTTGAATATATGGGATTTACTTTTATTGGTTTGGTATTTGTACTACACAAACCTTGTGCAAGCTTTACAGTCCTCGTGTTATTGAACAGTCTGTTTCATTGTTAAAGAGGAGTCGGTTTATATTGAAAAAGCGAGTTATCCCAAGGTCTGTGGTTTCCAGTCAGTTCATGCTCCAGTGTTCAGGGACTTCTCAGGGTTCTGCTGCTTAGACTTGTTAGTCTCCGCATCTAAGTATGTTTTGAGAGCACTTTTTTGAGAATCATTTGCTGGACAAAAACTAGATGCTTGTATGAACTTCCACTGTCTGATTTGGCTTGATTGAAATAAAAAGTTTTAGTGAAATCATGCAATGTCCATTTCATTTTTTTTCTATGTCAGTTCTTAATTTTGCTCATGTTCTGGTCAGGGCAAGGGTGAAGGCAATCATAAGTTACTAAATAATAAGTGTAACCTCCTATTTAACACCAGATTAAAAAAGGCTCAAGAAATAAGCGTGGAAATATGGGAAGGTGGAATATTGGAAACAGGGTGAAGAGAGCAGTCGCTTAGCAAAATCACATACTGTTTAGTAGGTGCTATATTTGGTTTGAAATTTGCTTCGTGAAATGTTCACTCTATAGCGTAGTATTCGACCACCATGTTATCACTCTCATGTGACCTACCAGCGTCAGTTGTGGCCTTATAGGATAGTAAAGTGTCCATTAGATGTGCACAATTCAGAATCTCGCCGGAAGTAGTAAATGTTCTGAGAACTTTTCACCTACTGTTTTATGAATAATTCGGTCATACCACACACATACTTCTTACATTACTGCTTACATACTAGGTGCGTCCTAAATCGTGCACTATTCTATAACATTGTGTAGTATAAACAGTGCGAGTATTGCGTTCACACTGAAAATTCCCAAAAAGAAAAAGTGCACTTTAAACACCCAGATGATGCACTTAAATAACCGGAAAAACGAAGTGTGGAATGTTGGACACTTCATGCACTCAACTGTCATAGCTTTAATTATGTAGTAAAGGGGGAGACTCTGATTATGAATGATGATTCGGGCAGGCAGGGCATGAGATCGGGTTCAATAACACACAGAACAACAACATACTCACTAGAGACGAATGAACATTAAAATGTGAGCGTAATTTACACGACCACAGTGTACTGAAAACGGAAAGAGTTGTCCTTTGCATTTTTGATAACTTTTGTGTACAGACGACAGTGTTGACAAAACAATCGCCGCTCACCTGTGGCCTGTAGCACGAAGCGAGATGAACAAACTCAGAGTTGCAGAGTAAGTTTTGAGTTGACAAAACCCGATAAAGCCAACCTGGTTAAGATCAGGGGTGTATTCCAGAAAGGAGTTAAAACTTGAACTCTGAGTTGACTTACCCTGAGATGGGAAACTCTTGAGTTTTCGGTTTCAGAACAGCTGAACAGAGTTAGTTCAATCCACTCTGAGTAGGTTGACTCTGAGTTTAGTGCGTGCACCACGACTATGAAAAGCCATGATCAATGGAGCTCCAAAATTTTGATTCACCATGGCAACAGCTCCCGCCAAAAAGACTTCCGCATAATACGGAATACGTAACTTTAATTCTAAATCAATCAGAGGTGAAAACTGTCAGAAAGGTAATTATTGAACTAATATTCATTTTCATGGTATCCCACGGGCAAAAAAATTGGCAGCAGAAAAAAAATGTAACATAAAAACATAATACAACCAGGTAAAGCTTCAAGCGTGAAATGGGTGTAGGCTAACGTTACATGACTTTACAAATATTTGACATTCAATAAATATCATTCAGTGTATATTATATATATGTCAATGTGCAGCAGCTTTTCCCACATAGTCTAATGCTTTTTGACATAATTAAATGTTCTCTAATCCAACATGCTACATTTCTTAATTTGGGTAATGAAAAACATTTGACTTCTATTTAGAAGCCAACAGCAAGAAGGCAGAGACTCGTAAAATGTGAGGAGAATCTGCACCAGCACCACTGACAGATGAAGAGGAGATGGCCACAATACCAATATTAAAATCCAACAGGGAAAATAATCATTTGTTGCTTTAGTATTTGTAGAACATAAAGATGACCAAATAAACTGTGAATAATTTGTGTTTAACAGCTGTGTTATGGCATATATCTTGCACTACCCTTCCATCCGGCATCCTTCCATTCCATACAGTAATCTGATTCATTTTCAGAAGCTGCGATGGTGAGAATATGTGTGTAATCAATGCATCCAACAACACTGGAAATCCTGAAGGAAATTCTAATTACTTAGAGGTCACAACAAGATGTTATCAAGTGAACGCCATTTAAAAATGGTACCGTTCAAACAAATATGCATGTGGATATGGCAAAATAAATAAACCAAATTAAATTAAATCCTCTCCTGATGTAGATGTAACTCCCCGCGAATTAATGCAACCTCCTCATCTACAGGATCCCTTATAAAAAGACATGCCATTTTTGTCACATTTACCGTGTCTGCATGATGAAAATGAAAGTGGTCCAGTGAGAAAAATAATCTTGTTTCCATTTTCATTAAGATTATTTTTCTTTCCCCGCTGGCAAATAAATTTTTACTTGTTTACCCCAGGAAACAAGACTAAATATCATATTTTTTTTCTTATATAGAAAATGCATCATGATTTAAGAATTTTTAGATATTTGTACTTGAAATATGGCAAAAAACTCAGCAATAAAAGCAATTTTTGCAACGTGAATGAATGAATGAGGTATTTAAACATTGCTTACGCTTTAAAAAGGGGGAGGAGACCGAAAGAAACTCTGGGTTTACTGAAGAAAACCTGCTCCCGACCAGGTTAGGTTCACAGACTAAGTTACTATGGTAACTTACCAAGAGGTTTAGTTTTGTCTTTTATTGGAACCGAAAACCCTGAGTTTACCTTTTCTGGGTTAACAAACTCTGAGTTTCCAACAAAACCCACTTTCTGGAATACACCCCAGGGGCCCGTTTCAATAAGGAGGTTCAACCAACTCTGAATTGACTTACCCTGAGCTAGGAAACTCTTGAGCTTTCGGTTTCAGAGCAGCTAAATTGTGTTAGTTTAGTTTACTCTGAGTAGGTTGACTCTGAGTTTAGCGCGTGCACCACGACTATGAGAAGTCATGATCAATGGAGCTCCAAAATTA